AAAGGGAGAGTTGCCAATTGGGGATATGGAAAAAGAGAGAGGGGCCCAGTCATTAAAACTGCTGCGTGAAGCTATCAGTCAACACATGTATTTTAATAGCTTGTTCTTGTCACAAAAACCTGGGAGACAGGAGTGACGGAATACATTTCATTAAAAGTCCTAAAACACTTCCCGCTATTTAATGTTGTTCCCCTACTTATTTCCTTGTATCTTTGGGCATAAACTAAATTTGGAGCAATGCTCAAAAATGGAGGAAGGGCACTTTAAAACAGCTTGGCTTAATAAATTGCAAAGATGTGATTCAGAGATGCAGCTCACAGATTGGAACCCATTCTTATCAGTCAGAAGAAAAGGCCTATTAATGTTCATTCTTTTAATATCACCAATGTCAAACGCCATTCAGTTTGTTTCCTGATTTGTTTTGCTTGGTGCAGAGATAAAAAAAAAATAAACATAAGAAATCAGGATAAAGCCAGATTTATCTTTACCTGTAGCAAGAGCAAGGGATGCTGGACACATTCAGAAATGAATGTATAAACTTATCTGAAAGAATTAAGTCTTGCTGTATCAGCTTATTTTAGACTAAGAAAAAAGCTGCACAGAAGATCAGGTGGTATGGGAAGAAGAAGAATTTTATTTCAACAGATTTAAAAGTTAGTGGAGGGAGTATGAGAATGGCAAAAATACATCATCCTGAATGTATGTTCATAAACATCTATAAATGTGGGTCAGGATCAAAGATAATTACATGCCTGTAGCACAATTTATTCACTAGGTTTCTATCTGGCCTTTCAATCAGGAAATCCAGGCAATAAATGTTTCTTCTTTCCATCATCTCCAACCATCACTCTGAACGGTAGAATGGGCTAAGAATAAGTGACTACCCAAACTCCCCCAGAGAGTTTTGATGATTGAGTATCAACTCAAAGTAGAGTCCTTCTATTTCTAGTTGGGCATCTTCACCACAACTCCACACTAAGGTAGTCCTTGTCTTACAATTGCTCAGTTAGTGACCATTCAAAGTTACTATGGCACTGAAAGGAGGAGGAGGAGGAGGAAGAAGAAGGAGGAGGAGGAGGAGGAGGAGGAGGAGGAGGAGAAGAAGAAGAAGAAGAAGAAGAAGAAGAAGAAGAAGAAGAAGAAGAAGAAGAAGAAGAAGAAGAAGAAGAAGAAGAAGAAGAAGAAGAAGGAAGAAGAAGGAGAAGAATAGAATTACTATTGCGAGGTGTAGTTGAACAGGGACGAGAGGCCAAGACAGCTAAAACTAAGTCATCAATGTTCTTGGATTCAAATAAAACAATTCTCGGAAGATCCTTTTTTTTTTTTCCTTCTCCCTCTTTCTCTTCCCATGCACAGCTAGGGAGAACTTCAACAGCATCTTTCTCTCTTTTTAAAAAGACAATTAAGAAAGAAGCCGAAGGGAAAGGTCAGGGCCATAAAAATGCCATCTGTCTGAATGAAGATGTTCATGGAATATCTTACTGGCCTTTGCTAGACCCATCATCATTGGCATTCAAAGAGGAAAGGGCAGAAAGAGAAAGCAAATTTCGAATCCCTTTCTGTTTTTAGACCCAGGGAGAACACTTTTATGTTTAAGTGGCCCACAGCCCTTGGTCCACACCATAGGCATTTTGTACCCATGAAGAGCAAGTGTCATCATCAAAATCCATGTGCCTTTTTTTGCCATCAGCCCCTGTTGAAATACTAGGTGGAAAGATGTACCTGCCCTTTGGGGGTTTATGTCTTATTCAACTAGAGGAGAGACAATCGGATTTTGAGTTAACGCCTGCGCTCGACTCCTGGACCGTGTAATAGGTCCATGTCGGCCAATCCTAGCATAGTCGAGCGCAGGCGTTAACTTACATATAATGTTTACTCCCATTGATTTGTGTACGCCCTGATGAAGTTGGCAGGAGCCAATGAAAGCTAGGTTGCTAACTTTTTAAAACTTTTAATGTTTTTATTTAAAACTTCTGTTTTATATTAAAACTTTTAATGTTTTAACTTTTCCTGGTGATCATATTTTATTCTCACCATATACACACCCAGGAATCATGCTTTTATTTTTAATATTCTTTTTAATATGTGTATATATATATATATATATATATATATATATATATATATATATATATATATATATTTTCTGAGGTTTTCGCGGGTATTTGTATATAGGTCTTTGGTTGTTCGGGTTTTCTCCCACGTAAAATTGGAAGTGTCTTGACACTTCCAATTTTACGTGGAAGAAAACCCGAACAACCAAAGACCTATATATATATATATATATATATATATACACACACACACACACACACACATACATACACATACATACATAGATACATACCTTAGGGGCAGAGATAAGAAGCCGAAGGCAAGATTGGTACAGCGGTAGCATCTTCTCCGTTAATTCACCAGCCACGTCCAATATTGAACGCCCCCCTCAAGACCCCATGCTAACTGGCAAAGCCAGGTTTTAATGCTCTTCCAGGAGGTCAAAGCAGTGGTGGGATTCAAATAGGTGAACCACTGGTTTTCTGTGTGGATGCCGCTTCCGGAAGTCCATTCTGGGCCTGGGCAACAAAAAAATTAGCTACCGGTTCTGCCGAAGTGGTGCAAACCGGCTGAATTCCATCGCTGTATCTATTTCTATCTATCTATCTATCTATCTATCTATCTATCTATCTATCTATCTATCTATCTATCTATCTATCTATCTCTATTCAGTGGTGGAATTCAAATATGTGAACAACTGATTCTCTGTGTGGATGCCGCTTCCGGAAGTCCATTCTGGGCCCGGGCAACCAATCATTAGCTACTGGTTCTGCCGAAGTGGTGCGAACCGACTGAATCCCACCACTGGGTCAAAGGGATGGGGGCAGACCTCACTCTAGGCAGAGAGATATTCCAAAGAATTGGGAAGGGTCAAAGTAGAAAAGCCCCCCTTTTTAAACCCCACCAGTCAAAACTCTTTGAACAGCTGAGCCCATGACATTCACCCAATATGACAGGCTCAGTTACTATTGAAGTATCTTTGAGATTATGCTCAATATGCCAAACCAGAGTGTTTGGTTAATGGATGATTCAGTATATAGAAAGTCCTTGACTTACAACAGTACATTTAGTGACAGCTCAAAGTTACAACAGGACCGAAAAAAGGGACTTATGGCCATGGCAGTATCCCTGCGGTCACGTGATTGAAATCCAGATGCTTGGCAACTGGTTCATATTTATGACGGTTGCAGCATCCTGAGGTCATGTGATCTCCTTCTGTGGACCTTCTGACAAGGCAAGTCAATGGGGGAAGCCTGATTCCCTTAACAACTGTGTTGCTAAGTTAACAACTGCAGGGAATCACTTAACAACAGGGGCAAGAAAAGTCGTAAAACGGGGCCAAACTCACTCAACGAATGTTTCACTTAGCAGCATGAATTTTGGGCTCCATTGTGGTCATAGGTCGAGCGCTACCTGGTCTGTGTGAACATCCAAAAATGAGTTAATTCCAGAAACACCTTGAACAGATTCCACAAAAAGCCTCTAAGCACCTTTTCCAACCAATATCAGCAGCAACGTTAGTCTGGTGTTGGTTCTTACAGCTTCAACGTGCGTTTCCTGTCACTCGTATTTTAATCAACACGCAGTTATTTTCGGCTTCTTAAGTTCTAGTTGGATTCATCCAATTCACACAAATGAAACCCATTCATGTCACCCAATTTTCTTCTTCAACACCTCCAGAAAGCAACAGCCAAAAAACAACTATGAACGCATCAATTAAAAGTGGCTGCCTTAAAATACTCCACTTTTCAAAGACCGGCAAAATTCTTCATCAGGAGGGAGACAAATCCATTAAAAAAAAAAAAACACTTCTCCAGGTAGCATGGATAAAAAAGATGATTGAGAAACAATGCCTACTTAACAACGACAACACACACAAAAAAACTCATTTTCAGGAGATCATCAGGGAGTGGTGAAGAATTGCTCAAACAAGCTGTTTTCCATAAGATCAATGCAGAGGTTCCAATTTTGACACCTACCCTGAAAATATAAACGTGCAGCAGTAACATCTTGCTCTGCTGAGTTGCGTTTTCACAGTCAGTGAAGGAACCCTGGATGGCTACAAATCTATCTATCTATCTATCTATCTATCTATCTATCTATCTATCTATCTATCTAGATGTAGATGTAGATAGATAGATGATAGATAGATAGATAGATAGATATGGATGGATGGATGGATGGATAGATAGATAGATAGATAGATAGATAGATAGATAGATAGATAGATAGATATAGATAGATAGATATGATATATATCATATTTTCTGGCGTATAAGACGACTTTCTAAAGCATGCAAATCGGCACCGAAGTCGGGGGTTGTCTTATACGCCGAGTCATCTTATACGCCAGAAATTATGGTAGTTTCCGGTGCATAAGATGACTTTATAGGTATGATCCAGAGCAGGGGTCTTCAAACTTGGCCCTTTTATGACTTGTGGACTTCAACTGGCTAGCTGAATCAGGATCACCTGAGTGGTGCAAATGGGTGATCTATCTATTTCCAGTTTACAACACAGTCCTTTCAGCAGTTCTAAGAAAGCTCCACACCTATTTGCACACCTATTCAGGTGATCCTGAAGACACAGATACACCTCCAAGTGGCCTCAACGGCTCTCTAGAAAAAGGCAAATGACCAGCTGTCTGCAAGGACTATAAAGCCTTCCATTCCCCACCATCCAGTCAGAGTCGAAGAAGCTTCTTGTATGAGAAGAAAAATGTCTTCAAAGAAAAACAAGAAAGTCCAGTTGCCTCCTGAAAAAAAGCACCTTTGAGACAACCATGACCTGGAGAATCCCTATAGACACCAGCAACTAAACCAAAGGTCAGAATTTGGCCAACTCTTAGTGCTGGATTTAGCGAGGCAAGACAAAGCCTGTCTCTCATGGGCATTAGGGAGGGATGCCAAGGTCACCAAGTGAAACACCAAAACTGTCACACTTACGTAAGTTGTTAGCAGGTGCTCTCGTCTCCATGTTCTCGTAATGCTGCATGTGAACCACAATATTGAGATCGGTTTCCATGTGATCTGTCATGCAGGCACCTTCTGGTCGCATCACATCTGCCAGAGCTCTGAGGGGTTGTGAAAAGAGAAGAGAATTAAGTTCACGCGCTTCACAACTCTTGTGTCCTGGTTCCAATAGATGAGACCAGTAGAAATAAGAACTCCGAGGCAATTGCTTTCCTCAAAGAACACATTTAATGGCTACATTTTATCTGCATGAACAAAGGTGAAACCAAGACTGAAAGTTCCCCCTCCCAAGGTTCAAAGTAAAACATTGAACTTCCCATCCCTGCAGTAGATCATAAATCACAACCCCCAATTAACTACTTTGGTGGGCTTTCTAATGGAAACTTCAGCCTGCCAAAACTTAAATAACTTGACCTTGGTTCCCACAGAAATAACAATAACTGTTCTGTGGGAACCAAGGTCAAGTTACCGAAGTTTTGGTGGGCTGAAGCTTCCGTTAGAAAGCCCGCCAAAATAGTTAATTGTAGACATAACAATGTCTAAATTAAGAGAATGCATCTTCTCCCTCCCATCACTGTGGCAACCGCTCAGGCTTGTGCAGTGCTGCCACCGGTTCAGCTCATTCCCCTCCCCCGCTACCAATTTTCTAGGATGGTTATGTACCACCTGCCAAGTGCCAATGTACCACAGGTGGTACCCGTACCACTGGTTGAAAAGCCCTATATTATATGGACTACAGAATTATAGAAATTAATTGTTATTGAATGTTTTTCTAAAATATTAACCACGACAACATTTACCAAATGTTAAGGTGTATGTTAAAAATCAATAAAACATATTTTTTTTTTAAAAAAAAAAGAGGAGTATCAAACCACCGCAGAGAGGATGGTGCCATGAAGGAGATGAAAAACCCTCAGCAAGCTTGTAACTGAAGAAGCGAACAAACGCTCTTATTCTCCACTCGGTGAAAAACCCTCAGCTGTTCCCTTTACTTTTAACAGAACTATCAAAAGCAAATTCTGTGATATTAGAATGAAAGAGAAGTAGAAATGGAATAAAAAGCAGGTTTCTCTCTCCCCAGCTTTCACCTCAGTGCTGGCCAGAGAATCTAGATGTCTGCATTTGTTTAAAACAAATAGCTCCCTATCGTGGCAAATTGGGGGGCTTTGGGGGCTGAAAGCATTGAAATCCCAGAGTTCTAGAACTGAACTTCTAGGACAGTGGTGGCGAACCTATGGCACGGGTGCCAGAGGCGGCACTCAGAGCCCTCTCTGTGGGCACGCACGCCGTCGCCCCAGTCCTAGGCCTTCAGCTGAGTTTTATAAAACCTTTTCGCTTTAGGCCTCCGTTGCCGTGTGCAAAAAAAAAAAAAAGGTTTAATCAGTCAATTTCATCTTCTCACGGGGAAAAAAAGTTCTTGCAAAGTTGGAATTGATTGATTGAACTTTTTAGTCCCACCTAGTCTGCCGTTACCACCGCAGCCACGCCCACCCAATGGACCACACCCACCCAATGGGCCACGCCCACCCGGCACCCCACGATGCATAAGTGGGTTTTGGGTTGCAGTTTGGGCACTCGGTCTCTAAAAGGTTCGCCATCCCTGTTCTAGGAAAAAAGAAGAGGGATGAAATAGGCTGCTTTGGAAGAATACTAGATTGGTTCCTTGGGTTTTTCTAAAGGTTCTGAATATTCAGATCCCTTAAGAAAAACGAGAAAAGGATGAGTCTGCCTGATCCAAAAAGGCAAATTAGGGAGGGAGGAAAAAGAAAGGAAAATCTTAAAGGAAAGACTCAGAATAAGTTGAGGAGCTTAGAAAGCTGGAGTGTTAGCCTACATAACAGAGAAAAATCACAGAACTGGCCACAGCTTCAAAGAGCTGAGCAACTGAGCTCTTAAGAGGGAAATGTTATTATACTGTGATCTGCAGTTCTGGGCAAAGCCTAACTCCTGAAAAATAAAAATCGCATACATACAAACACCTGCCTACAAAGAAGCAGTCAATTAACCCAGCTTTTTGGACAGATGAAAAAGAAAGTAAGTAAGTTGGCAAAGCTAGCTATAAATATATTAAAATGCCAGAGACAGCAACCCTGTTTAGTAGGAGAATGTGAAGTGCAAGAAAGACCCAAATCTTATTTTCAAATGGGAACAAAATAAATAAAGGGCACCATCTTTGCAGAAAGGCCTGCAGAGCTTCCTTTGACTCTGTGCTGTATTTAAAAGCCAAGTAAGTGACATTAAGCACATCCAATTGTCTAGGTATAAAACTCATAACCAGCTCTGAAATTTCCCCCTCCAAATTTTCATTCCCTTGGAGAGAAATTTCCAAAGCAAACTTACATAGAAGATTTTGGGGGGGGGGAAACAAGGGATGTTTTTTGAGCAGATCTAGACTTTGGGAAGGTACTAGATCAGCTAATCCCAACCTAACACATCCACTCCAATCTTTTTTTGAAACCCAACTTCCGTCTCCATTAAGAAACAGCGTGAAGAAAAAGCATTAAGGCAAGCAACAGTAAGTCAAAATTCTGGCTGGATTATGATTTAAAAACATAAATTTAGTGGGATCCAATTTGAGTCGGTCACCAGGACCAAAGGATCCTGCTACATTATTGTGGGACACATATATTTGCCTTCATTCACATAAATTAATCCCTATGATTATGAGATTAAATTTGAACAGGTAGTGCTTATTCTAAGAAAAGCATCCTTGGCATTCTAGATTTAATTGGTGTTTGAAAATGCAACAATTAAGTGGAAGGAGGAGAAGGAGGAGGAGGAGGGAGGGAAGGAAGGAAGGAAAGGAGGGAGGGAAGAAAGGAAGGAAGGAAGGAAGGAAGGAAGGAAGGAAGGAAGGAAGGAAGGAAGGAAGGAAGGAGGAAAGAAAGAGAAAAATGCAATTTGAAATTTCCTAGAATTGGGAATTTCTGCTTGTGCCTCTCCCAAATCATAAGAAAATGAGCAGCTACACAGAAAGAGAAGCTGAGCTAAATAGATGAAAAAAAAAAAAAAAAAAAAACCACCAAGCAGTGTTCATGGCATGAATTATAGCTGAACTCCTCCAGTTTTCTCTGCCTTTTTGGATGGGAAACCCTTCTGAATCCTCCTTGGCAGAACTCCCATGTTGGTGGAGATATTCCCACGTGGCTAATGAGTAACACCAAATTCTTCTATCAGCAAAGTATTATGAGTGTATCACATTTTTCTTTGGCATATATTTTAAATCATGCTTTAAAGCAGAAATGGGCAATCATCAGACTTGTAAGATCTAGGCTAGGTTCAGATTCTAAGTCGAGAAGGTGGATTCGACCAGGGTTTAATGAATAAACAACACGGGCTGGATTCAGACCCCAAGCTAAGCCACAAGGAAGCCATCCTTATTTCGGTTTAGTATGATGTTGGCTTCTCGGAAATCTTGTTCTATCTTCTTGCAGATGTTCTTACGGATGTTTCGTCACCAGGGTTGGTAATGAGATGTCTGCAAGAAGGAAAGCCAGTCCAGGAAACACCAAGAACCCAACAATATAGATCACCCAGCTCTTTATTCTCCATTAGCCCAATTTTCCAGCTGGGACTCAAATCCCTAACAATGCTTATCTTGAGGAGCAGATTATAGCCATGTCTGGGAGAAAAGTTGAGGAAAATGACACTGGGCGGATAGCCAGTTTAGGCCCAAGAGAATGGCACTAGAGCAAAGCTTACAAACAAACAGACCACAATCGTCTCTGCCGTTTTCCCTCCAGCCACGTAGCTCATCGCTTTTTTAAAAAAATTTGATTCTTGCAATTTTTAGGTCTTTAGTTATAAGACATTTTTACTGAACTGTTGCATATCATGGAGATGTCACTGTGGACCATAGCCCCTTCTTGCCTCCTCACCTATTGGCCTGGTTTACGCCATACAATCAACCCTACACCAGTTGTTACATTTATACAATACATGATGCCTATTGAAATAAACCTTATTATGGGCTGCTCTTCCAACCTGGGCTCAGCAGTTAAGACACCCAGCTTGTTGGTTGGAAAGCAGTCATGGTCGAAACCCAAGCACCATGTGGTGGGGGTGAGCTCCCGTTCCAGGCCCAGCTGCTGCCAGCCTTGCAGTTTGAAAGCATGCAAATGCGAGTAGATAAATAGGTATCACTTCGGTGGGAAGGGAACAGTGCTCCATGACATACATCATTCTGGTCACATGAACATGGAAATGTCTTCAGACAGTGCTGGATCAATGGCCTTGAAACAGAGATAAGTATTGCCCCCTACAGTCAGAAACAACAATCGGAATAAAATTTGCAGGGATTCCTGTATCTTTTACCTTCCAACTTGTGAAGCCACAAACAAACAGATGACATACAAGTTTAGCTAGCTTTTCAAGGATCTACAAGGCAGATCATCACGGTCATCCCTGACAAATCCTCAACACCCATTTCAGCTTGAAGTCTATATCTTCACTACCTTCCACGTCATCAACACCCAATTTCACAAGTACTTTGTTCCCTTTCCTCTCTCTTTTTCAATCTACATCTGTCTAACGTTCAGTCAATGCTATATGGCTTTAAAATATCTCAACTTTCAACCTAGCTCAAACGTTTGACCTATGTTTTTATTCTTCTTTTGTTCTTCTTCTGGAGAAAATAGCTGGGATCTTCCCTTATGGGAGTTTTAGACTCACTTAAGTCACGATAACTGGCTGGGTGACTTTGGGTCAGTCATCAGGAGACTGTGAGTTCTAGTCCCATCCTAGGCACAAAGGTTGGCTGGGTGACTTTGGCCCATCATCAGGAGATTGTGCATTCTAGTCCCACCTTAGCCATGAAAGGCAGCTGGGTGAGTTTGGGTACAATTGTAAGTCCCTCTTTATAGGAGAAGGACAGATAGAGCCTGAGGGTGGAGTCAAGAGAGCAATCAACCTAGAGTAATTATGTTCCCACAAATGGTCTAGATCCAATCCCTCTTGAATTCTGTTGATTCCTATCTAGCCCATATTTAGTGCTGGCCATTAATTAACTAGATTCTTATGAGCAATAAATTAGCTAACTGGAACCTAATGTGTGGTCCTGATACTTTGCATCTGACATGCTCCGTATTCCAGCAAGGCAGCA